CAGTTTTCTATGTTGTTCTGCTTGTTCTATGAGGTGTTTCCAATGTTTTGTGTGATCTTCATCTAGGCTTTTAAGGATGTGGTTTTTTAATGCTGTTAGGTCCCATAGTATTTGTCCATGACGATGCATGTTTTGTAAGAATCTAGTGTGATAGCAAGCTAAGAGGCGTTTTGAGCGAATGGAGGGGGTGAAAGTGAAATGTGGTTTGTGTGTTGTTTTAAGAATGGAGATATTTGCTGCATGAATGAAGGTGTCTTGTATGTTGCGTGCTTGTGTGTCGATGTTAGTGTGATGTTTGTCATTGTATTCATAAGTGAGATCAGTGTCATCTATGTGTTGTTTGAACATGTCCCAGTTTGCCCTAAGGTATGAGAATTGAGGAGTACTGGAGATGAGAATAGGATTTGCGGAGACTGTGAGAATTAATGGAATATGATCAGAGCCAGTAATGGGCCCTGGTGAAATGGAGTGTTGCAAGTTGCTGCCATGTCTGTTAGTGAATATGAGATCAGGCCTGCCAGAACCTGTATGTGTGAAACAAGTGGGGAAGTCAGGGCCAAGAAAGAATAGATGTTTTTGGGTGTATATTTGGTGAAGCTGTCTGCCATGCTGATTTGTGGTATTGTGATGGAATGTAGGATGTTGTGCATTGAGGTCTGCAAGCAGAAAAACAGGCAAGTGAGTGTGGTTGAAGAGAGTTGGGAAATCTTGCATGGGAATGCCGGTGTTAGGACGGGTGTAGGTTGTGCAGATGATGAGAGAACCCATTTGTGTGTGGACTTTGATGGCTAGGAAATGTTTATGAAGCCAATGAGTGTGTAAGAGTTCGTGTTTGTATGAAGAACGGATGAGTATTGCAACTCCTTCCTATGCTTCATCTGGTGACTGGTAAGAGGAGTAGCCATAATGTTTGATTTTATATGAGTTCATAATGTATGTGCTATTTAATAATAGCACATCAGGTCTCTCGATCTCAATAAAATCTGACACCATGTGTCTAATGGAGCCCGCACATTAAATTGGATGATCTTTATGAATTTTTAGGTTTTGATGGGGTGCTGGTGGGATTTTGTGCATGTACAGGAGCATGAGGGTTGCGTGATTCAATGACTTGGGCAGTTATTGAAGAGGGTGCATCTTGGAGAAGGGTGGTAGGAATTGTAGGAAATTCACAGCGGGAGGTGGGAGTAGGACAACGGGTTGCTCGGGACTAGACGAGATGAGTTACAGAAGAAATGACTGAAGTTGTTGGGGGATGGAGGAAGGCAGAAGGCTTGTTGACAGGGACCGGGTGTGAGGTATCAGAGGTTGTAGTGTTTGAAGTCAGATTGGAAGTGGAGGGGACAATGTTGGGAGAAGAGGTTGAAAGTGCCTTTGACATGGATTCTTAAATTTGGGATAGTCCAGGATGTGCTGTTTGATCAGTGGCACCGTTTTCTGTAGCAGTCAGGAGTGGGTTGGTAGGACGTTGTGGGGAAACTGTAGTATTTTCCTCAGATGAAGTCGTGGTGTTTTGTGGAGTGAGGTCTGTATGCGAGAATGGAGCAGAGCGCAATAGTTGAGTAGGAGGAACAGAGATACTAGGAAGGCCGTTATGAGTGAGAAAGATAGGAAGATAGTCAGCAAAGTCACGGCCATCGTCCTTGGCCTTCAAGTAAGCAGCTTGTACACAGGCAGTTACTCGTTCATATGAAAGGTTCTGAAGAGGAGAATAAGGTGGAGGTGGTGGGTGAGGGAAGAGAGGTGGAGAAGACTGAGTTTGTTGTGCAGTATTGTGGAGATGATGTTGCTGGTGTAGTGAAGTGTTACGGACACTGGCATAGGACATGGAGGTGGCTGATGCTGCTTGGTGATGAGATAAGTTATGGGAGGTTGAAAAAGAATGAGGGTGTGCTTGAGTGCGAGGTTGGTTATTGCGAAGAGATTTTAGGGTTTGTTTTCTCAAAGGGCAAGATTTGTCAACTGCTGAATGATCTCCTTGGCAATCAATGCATTTTAAAGTATTGGCAGAGCACTGAGTATAAAACTGGCCTTCTGCAGAACATTTAGAACAAATTTGTGGGTTTTTACATTTTCGGGTTTCATGACTATATTTGTAGCATTTGAAACATTGCAGCAAAGTAAGATAGTCAACTGGACTAATGAGATAGGGAGGAGTGCTGGTGTTGAGGACTTTTATCCCATGATGCAAGAGTTTTTGAGCTTCTGTAGGGGAGGAACATTGGATCTTGAGGTGTTTTGTATTGGGCACTGGGTATATCTCTATGACAGTAATAGCATTCCTATGTGAGATGTCTTGAGAGAGATTGATAGTGTTAGGTGCTGATAGGACAGAGCTGTCGACATTTCTTACAAGGACGGAGCATTTAGTTTTTTGTTCAATAGTGAGGACAGGAGTCAGTGAAGCTTGTGTGAGTTTAGTGAAAGCAGGTTCCCTGAAACAGGCAAAAAGGTCGTCTTCTGAAGCAATGACAAATTTGATGGTGTTTGTGTTGGCGTGTTTGATATGGTTAGTGGCAGGTGTGCCAGTGGCATTGAAAAAGGTAGTGATGCAGTCAATTGTGTCTATGGGTGTACTCCCAGTGTAGGTCATCCGTAGACAGTGAGCCATTGTGACTCACTATCTACTGACAGTCCCGTGTTTGTGCCAATCACTGCGATTCCATAAGCTCAGTGGGGGTCAGTGTGTAGGCCAGGTGTGTAGTTCGTGGTGAGACCTGGCCTAAGGGTCTCACCACGAACAAGCACCGTGTTCTGGAAGGTTGCAACCCCCAGTTATGGTGGGCTCGCACGATCACGAGATTCCACAACTGGCTCGGCAGTGTCAGAAACGGAAGAATTTTAGGAGAGGAGAAAAAAAAAGCACCTATGACATGACGCAGCTGCAAAAGGTGAACTTCCGTCTTCTCACCTGGGCCTGTTCTGGCTCGAAGTGGGGCTGTTCACCTAAATGCAGTCCGACCTGGACACAAGCACATTGGACAACACACAGAAGATGTCACTGCCTAGGACAAGATGCTGGCTGGGAAGCGCCTGGTTCTGCTCCAATACACTGCTGGCTGGAACTGGTTATTGCTACACCGAAGTGCTCATTGAGGCTGGAGAATAACAGCTGCTGTAGGACAGCGAGACGATGCTGGCTTGCTTTATGGCTGGCGAGCTGATCGATCCATCCACTCACGCACTCTAAGAGGTATCAGACATTGGAAGAGTAGGCGTGCGTATCGTTCAAGCAGAGGGCCACCTATGTCACACTGCGAGTGAGACGAGATGCTACTCTTGCAACGATGCTGATTGGTTTGATGCTGATCAGCTTCCTCAATCTGGACTATTGTATTAACTGGATGAGGTCCTCAACCTCATCCGGTTGAGGACCACAGGGGCTAACGATACTACAAACCAGACATGACAGGGCTTACAGGCCGCAAGTGCTTAAAGCTTAACAAGCCATGCCTTAGGACAGAAAACAGGAGACTTTCTTTCATACATTGGGTTTCAAAACCCGTGAAATCACATACTAAAATATAAATGCCTAGTTCAAAATAAAGTTTTAAAACAAAAAAATCTTCAAACAACGAGGGGAGGCGTTTTGAAAAGACGCCGGCTTACTGTCCCCCAATCAGGATCACTGGAGAGATAGGGGCCTTGAAGTAAATCAGGAAATTTCCCTCAAAAGATTTATTTCCCGATGACAGCATTGGTTTAATTACTCCGCGCACGCACGCACGCACACACACTCCGTTTTCTTTGATCACTCAAGCAACCAGAAGTGCCCAGGATAGTGTCTTAACAATAATTATTATTATTATTGACTTATTATAAATAAATATTACAGTAAAATATTATAAATATAAATATGATAATTATTACAGATTTAACAACCCGTTGTAGAGAGCAGTCACTATGGCGTCATGTGACAGGAATATCAAGTTGTTGTTGTTAAAGATTCGCTACCTAGGACAAAAAGTTCCAAGTAGCACGGGCTATGGTGAGCCCGGAAATACCACGTTATGCAACGTGATTATTTCGTGAACCCGAGGTCAACAGTCTGTTAATACCCTTTGGCTTTTAGAGTGTTAAACACCTTTGTAAGTTCAAAATCTATGCAACCAAAGGTGCACTTATCTTATGAGTACCTTTGTCAATACTTATACCAGCTGGCCTCTCCATATGTGTCGTTCCATTTGCAAAATTTGATACGTATTTACATTAGTCATTTTTCCAGTACAAGGATTCATGAGAAATGTTTTGGGAACAGCATATATTTTTGACAGATCGTATTTTATTATTTTCCTAACTCAATGTGGGTCTCTAATTTCACATTTCTAATGACTCTTAGATGTTCACATTCTCTCAGTTAGTGGTCGAGGCGGTGTCTGTCACTCTCACCACACTATCTGCAACTCCACTGTTATTTCCATCCCGAATCTCCATGAATATTTGTATCCAAGACAACGAATTCTTGCTATTACTGATTCTCTCCTGCGGCCACCTCCTCTTCGTCCATAATGATTGGGATTGCCAGCTGCAACCATGTTGTACCATAGTACAGATTCACTGGTTTGTGCTTCTATCCTCCTTTCCTCAGTTACCTTGTCACGGTGATGTTGCCTGACAATACCTCTAATTTGTAGCAGTCTTGGGTATGAAGTATTCAATATGGTCTCCTTCAGCGTCTTCAGCAGCCAGCACATCTGCTCATTCCTGTCCACAGATTCCACCATGGGAGGGGATCCCCAGAAACTTGACGACTCTTTCCTGATTGGTTAGCATCTTCACAGCTCTCTTGATTTCAGCGACTATCGCAAGGTTTTCGGCCCGATTTTTATATAGACTTTGTAGTGCTCCTTTTGAATGAGTGCAGATCACTGCACCGTTAGTGTTTCTTTCAAGAAATCTTAACACCATAACAATGGCGGTTCTGCTTGCGTTGAAGAGGCATAGTTCTCAATACTTGCTTTTTCCTCACTTGCATTTTGAAAGGCATTATTCCTATTTACAGTGAATGCTGCCATTGGCAGGATTAGATGACCCATCAGTGCAGATTTGATCTAACTCATTCCCAGCTTCTATATTAATTTCCTCACGATCCTTTTGCCATATTTTTTGTGGTATCATATTGGACATTTTCACACCCAGGGAGGTAACCTCTCTACAGGCAGGAGCTCATGTATAAAAAGGGTCATGTATAAAAAATGTCATGTATAAAAAAATTCATGTATAGAAAAGAGGTCATGTATAAAAAAGGTCATGTATAGAAAAAAGGTCATGTATAAAAAAGGTAAGGAATATAAAAAAGGTCATGTATAAAAAGGTCATGTATAGAAAAAAGGTCATGTATAAAAAGGTCATGTATAGAAAAAAGGTCATGTATAAAAAAAGGTCATGTATAAAAAAGGTCATGTATAAAAAAAAGGTCATGTATAATATTAATAATATCAAGGTATGATAGATAACCCATCAAGCAAGACGGTGTGCTAAATAGATATATTCTTGTTCTGCGTTACGAGAGAGTCCCAGTTTAAATTTGGGATATTAAAGTTGCCCACAACTACAGTGATAGAGCAATAAGAGACAATATTGCCTCATAAAAGGCATAGTTTTCATTACTTTAATTTGCTTAGTATACAAAAATGTACTTCTACACCTATGTGTGTGTGTTTCTTGAACACACAAAGCATCTTCATTTAGGAAGGGTTTAGTTCCACCACCTTCTCATATAAGAAATATTTATTAAAGTTATCTCAAGAAATTAATAATCTTGCCAACAGGTAATTACTGTTTTTTTTATCTTGGTTAAAATTATAATTTGTTGTAGATTATAAAGTTATTATTTGTCGTAGATTATTCTAGTTATAACTTGTCTTAGATTACAGAGGGCCATTATAGACAGGTCTCTTGACCTCTACCTTGCAACTTCACTCCTTATGCCAGGAGGACGTGGCAGCCAAGAGCGGGGTTCGAACGGTGACACAAGACGACCCGACTGTCTGTCAATCTTCAAGAGACGCGAGGGCGAGGAGACAGAGACATGACAGAGGTGACAGGAGGTCATAGGAGATGAGCACTCTCGCTCGCGATCATTTCAAATGATCGGAAACGCCCCCTCCGTTTTTTCTTTTTATGGCAAAACTTCTTCCAGCGTTGAGATTTTTCCCTTGTCAACTGGAGGCCTTAAAAGGGGGAAAGACAAGAGGGGGGGGGGGGGACAAAAGGGGGATTAAGGCGGGGTGTTCTGTGATGTAGAGGGGAAATATGAAGCAACGAGAGGACTGGTTATAAGGGAGGACAATAGAAATGTGTCCGCTCTTCCTTAACATAATGGGCGAGGTCATCTGTATATTGTCGAGAAAGGGAAGGTGCTTGTAGCGCTGAAGTGGATGGGAGGGAGGGAGGTGTAAGGGGGCTGAGAAGGGTATATATATATATATATATAGGATGTAAGGGAAGAGGTAGGGAGAGGGATTAAATGGGAGGAAAAGGGTGAAGGAACAGATGATGATGGGTGGTGGAAGGAGAGAGAGAAAACGGAGGCATTGTTTTTCGTTTGTCATTTGTTATGCATCGTATACCTATCCTTTGGGGGGTGATGGACCCCCATACCTATCCCGTGGATGGTGGTGGACCCCCCATACCTATCCCGTGGATGAACCATAGATATGTGACTCTTCTTGCGTAATATAAAGATAATAGATAGAGTAATAGATGTGAATTCCTCTTTGCTTCAAGTCAATTTACTAGACTTTGTTGCAGATTACGCTATATTACTCTACCACGCTAATCAATTAAGTCACTCTCTAACATCTCATGATTTAACTAACTCATCAGTTCTATCATCAAACTCAACTAACTCATCAACAATTCGGAGAGCAGTCGGGACAGGAGTCAACAAGTGACTGATTCTTGATTCCAGCGTTGATTATTGCATCATATCTCTCTCTCTCTTGCTTCAGACACAAGCATGTCGAAGTTGTTCCTTGGGGAGCTGAGTGCCGTCAAGGGTGACAAGGAGTCACTTAGAATTATAGTGTCGATTTGCATGCGTGTACTCGTTCGAGTACAGGAATGAGGGAGAGAGAGAGAAAAAGAAAGAATTGAGAGGGTGAAAGGGAGGGAGCATTGTGGAGCTTTTTTTCTTTATCTAAGAATAGGATTTGTTAACTATTCTGACACTAAAAACAATCTTTCTAATATCTCTGTGGCTCATTTGGGCACTCAGATTTCACCTGTGTGTGTGTGTGTGTGTATTCACCTAGTTGTGTTTGCGGGGGTTGAGCTTTGCTCTTTCGGGCCGCCTCTCAACTGTCAATTGAGTCGCGCTGAGGAGAGGCATACACTGTGTGTGTGTGTGTGTGTGTGTGTGTGTGTGTGTTTGTGTGTGTGTGTGTGTGTTTTGTGTGTGTGTGTGTGTGTTTTGCAGAAAATGAGAGGATACTTTTTTGCGAGAAAAAAAAACGCAAAACTCAGAGAAACGAAAAGCGATAGATACTGAACCATTGCAGATACACACACACACACACACACCAGATATACACTCATACCCAGGTAGTATACACACATACACCCCGCGTATAACAGCGAGGACTAGTGCCAGAACAAAACAAAATAACTCAAATTTCCCAAATTATTTCTTAACCACATATTTCCTGAAACTATTTCTGGAAGATTTGGAGTATTGGGCATGTTGCATGCTGGCATAGTGAGGTGCCTGGAATACTTCCATTAACATTATTGCCTACAACTCTTCCCCAGCTAATAGATCTGTGCCCTCTCTCTCTCTCTCTCTCAATCTGTGAAGTGCAGCTTCCGGTTGCATCTCCATCATTGGATAGATTGCAGGAGAGTCTTTCTTGGCGAGGGGGGGCATTCATAAGATTTTTCTAATATTTATAGCACTTTATGATGCTAGAATTTTTGGCGTTAATTTACGAGGTTTCTGAAACAAAATTTAAGCTGTTTAGAGAGATGCTAATTTATCTTTAATTTAAAGATATGTTAATATGTATATTTTCTTTGTTTTTCCTTGATTTTAATAACTCATTTGCCTAGTGTATCGTGATATTTACTCCCTCTCTACACTCCCCACCACCTCCCCTAAACTCACCACCACCTCCCCTACACTCACCACCACCTCCCCTACACTCACCACCACCTCCCCTACACTCACCACCACCTCCCCAACACTCCCCAGCACCTCCCCTACACACCCCACCACCTTCCCTACACTCCCCACCACCTCCCCTACACTTCCCAATCCCCTCCAACACAATATATTTATTACCTGTCACTCCAGATGGACATTAAACACTGACAGGCGGACACAGGTGTTGTCTGTGTCACCTGTGCCTGCGCACACACAGGTGTCCTTCTCTCGTTTTCCCAATCTCACTCACACTCTCATCCTCTCTCTCTCTCTCCCTCCATCACTTTCCCCTCACTTAGACCTAGTGCCACTAGGCCTAGAGAACCTCTCACATTATACTCCTTCCCTCCTTCCTTCCCCACAACCCCCCCTCAGTAGGTGAAGGGGGTGTAGGTCCCATCCTTCCCTCTCCTAGCCTCCCCTCAACCCTACCCTCCCCAACAAGAGCCAAGAGGTAGCGAGCCCAACTTAACTAAGATCATTTGCCAAGCCCTGTAGCCCGGAGGATTATTGCACTAACTTCAAGTTGGGTTCCCTGCCGACAACCCCCTTTCTCTGTCCCCCCACTCTCTATCCCTACCCACTCTGTGGAAAATTTTTACCCACCTATCAATATTATCATCTAAGACATGTATTATTTCTGTATCATATCTATATCATATCTAAATCGTATCAAAATCATATCCGAATCATTATAGATTCATTATACATCTTAATCCTAGATGACAATGTCATTATGATCACATATGCCAGAGGGCCCTATAGATGCCTAAGTGACTTTGTGCATGATCTCTCAAGGATACAGAAGATTCTAGAAGGATTTGTTATTTAAAAAACTATTGGAACATTAATCGCTTACGGTAGGGATTATAAATCGAATCCTTAATAAGAATCAGTGGTACTATCAAGTACTACTTATAATCTTTAAATCCTATATCTAATTATATTATAATCACATCTTATCTCAATCATAAGTCTAGACACTAAAAATAATCAATCAATATTCATTGAAAGCTACCCCTCTCAAGGAAGAGGGAGGAGCATCTCAGGAACAAGAAGCGCCCACCACACCCGGGGCACTACGCGTTTGTTTACAACTGAGTGAACAAGTGTCACGGATCCTTAGCGAACATTAATTAGCTCAGGACACCTTATCTAATTATCTTTATCACCAGTGAACACTCTAGAACTGGGGGAGTACATGGACAATATATCTACAAGGAAAATCCCTAGAACATTTATATCTAAAAGAGCACACAGTGACTTGTCTCCACCTTCACCATCAACTATCATCCTTCTGCTACGCAGTTTAAAGTAAAATCACGTAACAACGCTACAACAACAATCTACAGCAAAGCTGTTATATAAAATATCGTGCCTAAACTCACGACAAGAGAGTTATCAAGTCTGGCATACTGTCAGACAGGCATTCCCGGTCCGTCTAATTACCACAAGCTACACAAGCTTCAGAAAGCTTCCTGGCAATACGTTAGTAATGAATAAATATGATATATTTACTCATTATAATGTTGGTGCTGAATGTACAACACGAAAAAACATAATTTTAATCTGAAAAAGTATCTTTTTATAAAGAAATTAGACGAAAATAAAAAGCTGGTGATGCCAAATCAAGTCGACGATCCAAGCTTCGGTTAGGTTTGGTTTAGTTAAGTTAGGTTAGGTTAGGTTAGGATAGGTTAGGATAGGTTAGGTTAGGTTGGGTTAGGTTAGGTCAGCCTAACTTATCATATTTATTCATTACTAACGTATTGCCAGGAAGCTTTCTGAAGCTTGTGTAGCTTGTGGTAGCTTGTGGTAATTAGACAGACCCGGCATTCCGGCAGTCAGAGAAGTATATTGATGTTATTGAGCATTAATTGGCCAATTGTATGCTTGTTTGACTTTAATGTCCTATAAGTCTGTCTGTCGGTTATAAAGCGAGGCAACGCCTCATATCTCAGAAAGTTTAATAATA